GAGATATTTAGATAATGCCAGCATTGTACCTCCCAACTTTGTTTTGTCACTTCACAGAAGAACAGGGCACATTTTCATATGTTATATTAATAATTTCAGATTAAAACATAATCACAGCTTGTAGTTTGTAGGTAGCACTAATTCCAGGGTCCTGTTGTTCGTTTTGCCCCAGGTTTTTTCCTTCTGAGGCAAAAAAGAAAATATAAATATATCTGTTAGTTCCACTATTTTACCACTGAAGTATGTCTGCCACATTTCTGTTGTGCATGTTTACTTAAGGATTTGGAAGACTGCAATAGGGTTTCTTCATTTTTCTAAAAAAGCAACCATGCATGTTCTGAATTAAAAGAATAGGGCAGCATCCTTTAATGTGTTTTTCATGTATACTTAGAAATGAGTTCTCATTGAGTTCAGTGGTGCTTACTCCCAAGTAAGTGACTATAGGACTGTAGCTGATGGCTGCAATTCTTTACTCACTTACCCGAGAGCAAGCCGCATTAAGTTCAGTGGTGCTTACTTTTGAGTGATCATTCGTAAGAGCATAAGAGCTTGGCTGATGGACCAGGCTGTTGGCCAACCTAGTTCAGCATCCTGATCTCACAGTGCCCCGATGAGAAACCCTTACAAGCAGCAGCAGAGCACAAGAGCAACACTCTCCCAATCCTATGATTTCCAGCAACTAGCATTCAGAAGCATGGCTGCTGCTGGCTGAAAAATTCATAGGATTGCGCCGTCAGTTGCCAAATCAATTAAAAACACATTGATCAACTAAAATTTGCAGCATATTTTAGAAAAAAATAAAAGATATACACACTCCCTCACACACAGAGAGATTTCTTGAAACAAAGTCAATTGATGCCAATTGATGCCAAAGGGGGTTTTAATTTCCCCCTTTTCTATCCTACCTTCAACCCAAGGAATTAAATCCAGCATAGATGATTCCTTCTCCTCCATTTTTTAACCTTGCAACAAGGCTAGGACAGTGAGCCTTGTGGCCAAGTGAAGATTTGAACCTGGGTCTTCCCTGTCCTACTTAAACACTGCTCTACATCGGCTGATTAATCAGTTGATTGGACCACATGCAATTGCTTGACTGATTGTACCTTTATCTATTTCAACAATGCTCTGAAGTTATGCATTGCACACAATTGAAATGGAAGCTCTACCTGATGGCTTACAAAGTAATACAGATGGATAACCAGATGGATAACCAGGCTTCGCTGTGTCTCATGTGATTTCAGGCACAATTTCAGCCGATACCATTACCACTTCTGCATCAGGGGCAGGCAGGGTGCTTGTGGAACTGCCACCTTGGTGGTCTTCTGCCATCTCTGAGTGCAGAAAATCTGCTGGGGTCCTCCAGCTCCCATCATTCCTCACCATATGCCACACTGGTTGTGACTGCAGTCAGAGTACTCTGGAGGTCCACAGATTCTCCCACTCTGGCTATAAGGTAAGGAGAACCAAGGTGGAGTGGACAGAAACACAGGAGAAGAAGGAAGCCCCTCTGCTTGTGAACTTCCCAGAAGCATCTGGCAGGTCATTGTGAGGATGCACAGGAAGAAAGACAAAACAACAACAACAAACCTATGGTTACGTGAAACATGCTCAATAAACACACAAGACGTAACCGGCTGTACTTTTGAATAAATAAAGTATACTATTCATTGTATCAAATTGTAGATTTCAACAGAAGTCTCATAAAGTTCAACAAAAGAAGCAGAACCATTACTATGCTATAAGACTGCAACCACTACTATGCTATAAGACCCACTATCCTGTAATATTACATATGAGCCTGTTCTATTGATGAAGCCTAGGATGGCGAAACAAGGCTAATATTCCGGAAATCCTTGTCTTAGACTCTGTGAAAGGATTCTGTGGAACTGTAACAACGGTTCATGTAGATTATTGGACTCTATGAACAGACAGGTGGAATAGACAGTTATACATGTATGGACCTTATGCATGAACTGGCTAGAGAATGAACTGATCCACTGGGTCTTCTGCTTTTTCCGTTGAACTTTATGAGACTTCCGTTGAAATCTACAATTTGATACAATGAACAGTATACTTTATTTATTCAAAAGTACAGCCGGTTACGTCTTGTGTGTTTATTGAGTATGCAGGAAGAAAGACAGGCAATGTCTACTTGGTCCATCGAGCTCCCTATTGTCCACACAGACTGGCAGCAGCTCTCTGATGTTTCAGGCACAGTTCTGTGCCAGGCCAAGCTGGAGATGCCAATGGAGATTGACCTGGGACCTTCTGCATGCAAAGCAGATCCTCTACCACCGGCCTCGTCTGCAAAGACCTATAGGAACAGAGGAAGCTGCCTTATACAGAGTCATACCAACGCTCCATTTATCTCAGTGCTGGCTGAGGATTTCAGAGAGGGGGTTTCTCCTAGCCTCACCTGGAGAGGCCATTGGGGATTGAACCTGGGATCTTCTGCATGCAAAGCAGATGCTCTGACCACTGCGTTTGCAGCCATTCTCCAAGTGCTGGACGAGCTGGTTTTCACTCTGGTCCAGCAGGACTCTTCTTACATTATTAGCCATCTGTGTTAGATGTGTAAACAAAATAGGAATGGGGATTGTGGGGAAAGACCTGCCAAAAAAGTTGAAAAACATCTTCATGTATGCGACAACGGCCGCGAGAGTTCTGGTAGCAGAAGGCTGGAGGACTGAAAAAACCCCAACTAAAGAATCATGGCAAGAAAAATTGATGGACTATGCAGAACTGGCAAAACTGACATATAAGCTACGGGACAAGGATAACTGTGACTTTAAGGATGAATGGGAACCCTTTACAAAGTATCTGAAGACGCAGCAAAGCGAACTGGACTCCTTGGCAGGTTTTGAATAAACATTCACAAAGTTTTTATTGATAATAATCAGCTAAATAGTTTAAGGATCTACACAACTTTGTAACAGGCAGAAAACAGCATTCTTAGAGAAACCAAAGACTGGAACTGAGGGAAGTCGGGGGGTGGGGTGAGGTGGGTGGGTTTTGTGTGGGAGGGGGGGAGGGAGGAAAAATGGGGGGGGACAAGGATGATATGTTTTTGGATAATATGTATTGTTATAATTTTGAATAAAAAAATAAATAAATATGTAAGAAAAGCCTGCTGAATCAGGAAAATGGTCCATCTAGTTCAGTATCCTGTTCTCAAGGTGGCCAACCAGATGCCTGCAGGAATCCAGCAAGCAGGAATCAAACACAAGAGCCCTCTCCCCTCCTGTGGTTCCCATCAAGTTGTATTCAGAAGCAACTGTGGAGGCAGATCATAGCCATCCTGGCTAGTAGCCATCGTTAGCCTTCTCCTTCCTGAATCTGTCTAATCCTCTTTTAAAGCCATCCAAGTTGGCGGCCATCACTGCCACCATAGGAGCACGTTCCTTAGATACAAGAGAGTGAGGTTTGCCGTTCCTGAAAAGAAATCACTTTCTACTCTCGTCTACTGGCCTGTTTGTTTGCATTCTTTCTCGCAGATTGTGCATGTGTGCGTGCAATATATAGAAATGCTCCGTTTTTTATTTTTTTCTACAAAGGTAGCATAATTCTCCAACCAGGAAAGGTAGTTCAAAGATAAATCTGACTGTCCCCCCCCTCCATTCTTATCCCGTCTTTCCTGCAGCGCTGCATCCAAGCCATGCTTTATAGGTGACTGCATACATCAGGGAGCGCTCTAAGTGTGTCTTTACAAGTATCCCAAACGCTGTTTGAGTATGGAAATTGCCGACAAAAGAAATTAAGAGCAGGAACCCCATGATTAGACTAATGCATTGATCAAGTCAATTCTTCTCTGTTTCACTGCCAACACACCACATATAAAAGCGTCATTAAAGAAACTTTGCTGTCTCTCTTACTAATGGTCTACAATTTGAGCAAGCCCGGATGATTGACAGGCTTTGCCAGGGCTGCCTGTGTTGTCTGAAAAAGCCACATCAGATCAGCGGAAGCTTTAAGCAAAGCATAAATTATAGATACACGTCTGTTTCTTTGATGATGTGAGACTGTTAGGTGCGTCCCACTTCCATCACACAAAAGAACTGCACTTTCATGCCGCTTTTTCACTTTGTCACATCACATTTGAAAAAACAACAGTGAAAACATAAATGTTCTCTCTCTCTCTCTCTCTCTCTCTCTCTCTCTCTCTCTCTTTACAAACAGCCTGTTCAAAGCCAGCCTTAAAAGTTCTCCTTCCCTCCTTCTCTCCCCCCCCCACACCACACACACACCTCCCCCCCACATCGGAATTAATTAAACATAAAATGAGTGTTAAATTTCAAAGTTCAATGCAGCAAGGATTATGGTGGGGATTTTTAGTATCTATTTGTCACTGTTCGATGTGGCTTTGCGCAGCAAAGCCACTGAGATGGAATATTTGGAGCATTAAGGCCACCATGGAATCAAAGATGTTCGGGAAAGTAGTAAAGAACAACAGCAAAAAAAAAGGACATTTTTTTGCTCTGTAAATTTTATTGCTGAAAGGTGATACAATTTCCTGTTTGCTTGGGGCATGCGGGGGGGGGGGGATGGGACGGGGGGGCGATAGACCCTGCAGGAGTTTCTTTGCAGAGCTGAAATAAATGACATATCTAAGATGCAACAGAAAGCGCACACACATGGATCTTACTCTGTGTACAATGCAACTGAGGTTGGTTTTTTCCCCGCACCGTAAGGTCCCCTCTTAATTTTTCAGTGAACAATACAGCAGGCTTGCAGGCAGCGTTGCTAATGGAATTGTGCCACTTCTCTCTCCCCCCACCCCTTGCTGAAAACAATCTTGATGTCGAATCACACACACACACACAAGATTGGTGAAAAGAAATTTTCACCATTATTTATTTCACTGCAGAAGGGTTTCTATATGCAACTGACCATGGGCAAATTGAATCTTTGACATAGCTACACATGTCAAAATTCTGGCACAAAATTTTAAAAAGTATATTATTTGGCTGCATCCAAGTGTTGCCAGCTGCTCCTGTGCTGCTACCAATATAATTTTTAAAATGTTTTAATAATATCTTAATAGCTTCCCCGCCCCCCCCCTTTCCAAAGAGTACTTTGCTAATGGGCAATTTTGCTTTCACGGAATAGCGCTTTCTGCTGCCCTTTTTGCAAAAGGCTCATCCCGTATCACTTCTTTAAGAGATCAGACATTTTCTTTTCCCTGAAGGTTCAAAAGATCTGTAAGTTGACATAATTCTGTGCAAGTTGCTCTGGCAGTGTAACGTAAGATGGTCCATATTCCCTCCAGACTTTGGCCTCTGTAACTGTGCCCATCACTCACTTAACTTCACCTTATCTTTAAATAAGTTTAACCAAAAGGGACTTGTTCAAGTCGCCACCTCTTGAGTGATCTGAATCATTTATGTGATCTTCATATGCGCTTGTTAAGCTCTATCCAGCTGGCCTGTGTATAGTCGTCTTTGGTACACCCGACACTGCTGCATTGGAATTAAAGCAACAAGAATATGACACTATTGTGTCTACCTTCTAGGGAAATGAACAATTCTCACTGCCCCCCCCCTCCACTAGGGATGGGCAAATCTATCCATTTGAGTTTCTCTATATTTCTCATTTTTCCAACCTCCGCATTTCCACATCAGTTTGCAATCCAAAACATCACTCAATTCCTTGATCTCCCATTTGTTGAGTTTTGTGACAATGATGAGCAACCCTCCCTGCAGTTCTTCTTCTGGTGGATTAAACACTTTGGGCCTTTAGCTTAAAAATGCATGGATTACTTACTTTGGTCTTCCAGATGGCTGTTTCAATGCCCTATCTACGCCCTTGTTGCTTCCATTTTTATAATACTTCTGTGCAGGGCTCCCCCTCCCCAGCTGGAGCTCATTGGAGCTTAACTCGGGCACCTCTCAGGTAGGCGCCATTGCCGTTCTAAGAGAACAAGGGAGAAATTCATGGTGAGCTCTGGCACCTCTTTTTCTAGAAAAAAAATAGCATTGTTTCTGTACATTAAGAAGTAGTACCAGGACCAAGTTCACAGTCAAAGTCTTGTTATGTATCTTGTGTTTGTTGTTGTGTATTTCTTATCTGTCTGGAAAAAATGCAATAAAAATCTTTTTTTAAAAAAGAAAAAGAAAAAAAGAAGAGTCATTGGAAAGCTGAACCAGAACCACCTATGGGACCCAGATTAATTTTGTGGGGGACATAGCTCTCTCAGAGAAGGAGAGCCACCAGGCAGTGTGAAAAATGGATAGGTTTGAGAAGAATTTGGTTTTCATTCTTTATTTCATAAATAAGGGGCAGCATACCCCATGGTCTCTAAAGCTCCTCTGTGAAAAGGGAACTCACTTAAGGTGGGGTAATGCATGAGGCATAGGATTTGTGCTTTAAGATGAAACTCCAAATGCATGAGAGCAGAGCACTCATAATATCACACTGGTGGATACTTTCCTTGCTTCTGCACTGTGATTTGCTTTGTACAAACTCATAACTGAAACAATGGGGGGGGTGGAATCTTTTTTAAAAGTGTGTTCATGAAAATTCATCATTGTAGTTCAATTTTCTCAAAATATGCAAATTTTTGAATGCAATTTTGCCTATTGTACCATTTTTTTGTGAGACCATTTCCCTGATATAATGCATTTTCTACTTTCACTGCATTTACAAAAATGCAGTAACACATTACTTTCACTAATATATTCATGCATCTACAAGCCTTAACCTAGTTGAGCATTTTTGTAAACATCATTTGACTGTAGAACTGCATTACAAAATTCAGAGGAGAGCAAATTTTGCAGGATGGCTGCATTTGGGTTTCCCTATCATTTTGGAAGGTGAATGAGGCAATTTTGCCTTTAAGTGCAAACTGAATCGAAATTCTCCCCCATCCCTTCTGTCCCATATAGTGACAGGGTTATCTCACAATGGATACTTTGGCAATGTTATTTTTCTAGAACCTTCTTCCCCTGCCTGACCCCACCCTTTCCCCCCTTTCTTCACTAAATCGTTTTTTTAAGAAATCCCCATCCCAAATTACAGTGAATTCAATGCAGATCTACGAATCGCGAAGGGCTACCGCAGAGATGGGGGTAATGAACTTTTCTTTGAAACAGTTCATTTTTGCAGTTAACAAATTAGCAGCAGAAATCATAGCCATTATGATTATAGGGCTTTGCGCACACACAAAAATCTATTAACTCAGTCAAGGTATTATAATAATAAACAATAATAAAAACAGCCTTTAAAATGAGTCGGAACCATGTTTTCCAGTAAATTTGTCCCAGGAGTGGCACTTAAACTTTAAGTATAATAATAACAATTAAAAATGCAGTCCTCTTATGCTGCAAATTTTCTAAAGAATGATCCCAATAAAAGATTTCAAACTGTATATAGAGATTGCTCAAATTATCATTGGAAAGGACTGCTTCCTGCAATTTTAAGATGCAAGGCATTTTGTTTTATTTATTTATTTTTTAAAAAAAACAATCTCTTATCTACTGGGTATCGTTTTGGCTTTTAGGAGGC